ACACTGTTGTTATTTGCTGCTGACATGATCTTGTATATAAAAAGCTCTAAGCTCCAGCCTCAAACTGTTAAAACTAATAAATTAATACAGTACAGTTGCAGGATACAAATCAACACAGAAAAATCAGTTTCCATGCAGCAACAATGAAATTGTAAAAGTCTACTTTATAATAACCACATAAATAAAAACACTTAAGAATAAATGTAACCCAAAAGGTGAAAATCTGTATGGTCAAAACTACAAAAACAGATGAAAGAAATGAAAGAAGGCACATAAGTAGAAAGATGTACCTTTTTTTATGGTTGGAATAATTCATACTGTGAAAACATCCTTTCTACCCATCTCTTTATGGAGAGTCAATGCAATCTCTAACAAAATTCTAATAACATCTTTCACAGAAACAAATAAACAAAAGAAAACCTCAAATGTGTACCAAATCCCAAAAGATCTCAAAGAGCCAAAACAAAATTCTAGCTCAAAAACAAACAAACAAAAAACACCAAAGCTGGAGGCATCACACTACTTGATTTCAAACTATATTGTGAAGCTATAATCAAAACAGCATAAATAGACCACTTCCATTTAATTAGGCAGAAACCTCCATATTTAACTGATGACAGATAGATGTAGAGTAGGTTGAAATCTGTCCCGACTCCCCTGTAACCACCATTGCTTTCCTCTTCCACATCATATGATTCTTTTTCAGGGTTGGATTACAGGGTTTTAAAAAAGAGGCAGAACCCTGACCGGGGCAGCTGACCTAAACTTTGGCCTCCCAGAACCCATCCATTTTAGAGGCTTTCTAATGCTTGGAGAGCAAAAGATATTCAGTCATTGTTTCTACCTCCCACATTTGGGCTGTTAGAAACTCAGCTCTAACATACTTTTGCTCTTAGTTCAGGAGCTCAGTTTCTCCTTAAAACAAATAGGAAGACAGGAGGTTTCACATCCCACAAGGCCATTAGTCCTTTTGGGCAGGTAAGCATGGTGAAAAAGACCCTGCCCCAGTGCCTGATGGGAGCTTACGCTTCAATTGGATTAACTTTTCGGGCAGTGGTACCCCATATTATTCTAGGACCCCCCTTCTTCTCTGGATCTGCCCTTGCTCCCTCCAATCCCTAAATCCCCCTCAGCTAGAATAGTAGAGATGAGTACGCAAAAGCTCAGCCAGCTCTGAATATACAGCTCTTGCCAAAATAAGCATTCACCCCTTCTGTCAATATTTTCCCTCCCAGTCTAGGATGCACCCCCCTCCTCAGAACTTCTTGGGCCCCGTTCTGGCCTCACAGCCATCTTGGCCTTAGTTTGGTGAGCCAAACTGGATTTTGATGGCAGTAGGCTCAAATAGGGAAGGGACAGAAGAAAGCACATATGGTAAAGAAGTCCATGCCTCTGATCCTACAGTTTGCTAACCCACTCAGGTGCCCAGTAGTTCCTTCCTGTCACCCCTGTCCAAGGTGGTACCTAGGCCATACCTCTCACAAACCTCTAACCTAGGTCTTGTCACTAACAATGTGGTTCCATGGCCTACGTAGCATGAGCTGCTGGGGATTCTGGCCTGGTCCCCTGTGCACCTCCATGCTTTGTCCTCAACCCAGGAGCAACCTCTTCCTCCTCCTCTTCACCTCATGTATGCTCTTTTTTTCTACCAGTATTAAATATTCTAGTGATATCTAAAAATAAAAATTAACAGCAATCAGCTATTCTTGTTTTGAAAATCTGTAACATACATATTGTTGTATGTTACCCTGTTTCTGTCTTTGCATCTTCTATTTGTTTTTGCTTTTGTTTACACTTCAAAATAAAATAAATTATAAAAATTAACAGCATAGTACAGGTGTAAAAATAAACACATCAATCAATGACTAAGAATAGAGCCTAAAAACGAATCCATGAATTTATAGTCAACAAACTTGCCAAGAACACATAATGAAAAAACAACACCACATTTATGGCTGGTTGGTTGGTTGGTTGGTTGGTTGGTTGGTTTGACACAGGGTCTTATTATGTAGTGCAGGTTGGCCTGGAACTCACTTATGTAGCCTAGCCTGGCCTCAACTTCATGGCAATCTTCCTGCCTCAGCCTCCCAAATGCTGAGGTTATAGACATGTGCTACCACACCTGGCTTGCCATCCTCTTAATAAAGGGGTTGGGAAAACTAAAGATTTATATACAAAAGAATGAAATTAGACCTTTTTCTCACACCATGTATAGGGATCAATTCAGGCCAACCATAGTGGCACTTGCCTGTAATCCCAGAACCTGGGAAGATGAGGCAGGAGGATCGCCATGAGTTTAAGGCCAGTCTGAAGTACATAGCAAGATCTTGTTTCAAAACAACAAAACAAAACAAAACAAAAAAAGGAATCAATTCTAAATGGAATAAAGACTTAGATGTAAGACTCAAGGCTATGAAACTACCAGCAGCTGGATGTGGTGAAGCGTGCCTGGAACATCAGCCCTTGGGAGGCTGAGGCCAGAGCGTTGCCATGCGTTCCATGCCAACCTGGGCTACATAACAAGACCCTGCCTAAAGCAAACAATCAGGGAAGCGCTTGTTCCACTGAGCCATCTCCCCAAGGTTTGGTTTTTCGTGGAACCAGGGGTTGAACTCAGGCCCTTGAGCTTGTCAGGGGTCGGGGAGATAGCTCAGTAGAATAAGCGCTTGCCTGGCAAGCACGAGGGCCTGAGTTCAATCCCCGGTTCCGCCAAAAAAATAAAAAATAAATAAATAAATAAATAAACGGAAAACTATATGGCAGTGATTTAAGCAATAATATTTTTAGATTTGACCCTAAAAACTCAGGCAACAAAAGCAAAATAGACAAATGGGATTCCATCAAACTAAGAAGGTTCTACACAGCCAAGAAAACAACAGAATTAAAATAGCTATCCAAAATATACAAGGAAGTCAACTCAATGGCAGGGGGAAAAAAAAAATCCTCAGATAGTTTTTCATTTTTCTTTCTTTCCCTCCCCCAGGTTTTTCAAAGAGCAGACCAGAGACTGACATGGCGGCACACCGTGTGATCGCAGCTACTTAGGAAGCTGTGGCAGGAAGTCTGCAAGTTTGAGCTCAGCCCAGGAAACTTAGAAAAATCCTTTCTCAAATAAATAAATAAATAAATAAATAAATAAATAAATAAATAAAATTGAATAGACTGGGAATGTAGTTCAACTGGAGAGCACTGGGTGTGTGAGACCCTGAGTTACACTCTCAGTTCTGGGGACAGGGAGGCTGGTTCAGCCTGAGCACCTGTAGTTTGAGCTCTCTGGGAGTTGGGGTGGAAGGATTGCTTGTGCCCAGGGGTTGGAGACAGCCTGGGCAACATAGTGACATCTTATGCCCCAAAATTATTTCAAAAGGCCAGAGAATGCTAATTTTTTTTTAAAAAGACATACAAATCACCAACTGATAAGTGAAAAAATGCTCAATATTACTAATCATTTGAGATACAATTTTAAACCATAGTGAGATATTTCTGCACTCCTGTCCTAATGGCTGTCATCGAAAAGACAGATGATGAGGGCTGGAGAAGATGCGTGGAAAAGGTGCATAGTACAGTTGTCCTATCAAACTGTTTGGATGGTCTTTGCAAATTAAAAAAAAAAAGTATTGACCTTCTTCAAAAAATAAAAACTAGAACTACCATTTAACCCAGCAAGCTTACTAGCGAGTGTATAGCTGGAGGATTTGAATTCATTGCTTGAAGAGCAGTCTGCATTCTGGGCTAACCACAGCTCTGTTTGCTAAGGCCAGTGGAAGGGCTCTACTTAAATTCCATCATGGGATGAACAGATAAGGAGGGCACAATACGTGCATGCCTTGGGATGCCACCCTTTGAAAGAAGGGGACTCTACTACTTGTGACAGCGTGGATGACCTGGAAGACATTATGCTAAGTTCAGTGAGGCAGGTACAGAGACACAAATACCTTAGCCTCTCAGTCTCCTTCCTAGGCAGAACTCTAACCCCACACCAATGGCCTGTTTTTAAATGCCGATAAGAAGTCTCCTCAGGGTATCTGACCAAGTGCTTAAATTTAAGGTCCAGAAACAGATCTATTCAAATACCACATGGTCTCACTTTTTCCTGTGGGATTCTGAAACAACTGAACACAAAGAAGCAGGGTTGAGGCTAGTTACTGGAGGTGGGGCCGGAGGAAGAAGCTAGCCAAAAGGTACAAAATTCCAGCTGGACAAAAGGAATGCAGGTTTTGAGATATACTGCACAGCGTGGTGACTAGAGCTAAGAATTTGTATTTTAAAACTAAAAAAAATCTTCTCACCACAAGAAAATGGGATTTGAGGTGGTGGTTATGTTTTTTGACTTTTTTTGTGGTTCTGTGGGTTTAAACTCAGGGCCTTCATACTGAGCTACATCTCCAGCCATTTTTTTATTTTTTACTTTGAGCCAGGGTCTTGCTAAATCGCTAAGATGTCCAGGCTGGTCTTGAACTTGAGATTCTTCGGCCTCAGCCCCTCAGAGCACTGGGATCAGTGGTCTAAAGCACCTATTTAAAACAAGCTTAGCAAAGCACAGGGACCGCGGTTCAATCCCCCAGTACCACATGCCAGCCAGCACCCGCCCCCTGGTCGGCTGAGCTGAGCTGGCCACCACACACACACACACACACATGCATAAATAAAAAAATTAAAAATGGGAAAATGGAAATTTAAAAAATAAGTTAAAAGTCATTTCTGAAACAAAGGCCATTTTCTTTCTCTGGGATTTTCTAATCACTGGCATTTGCTAATAGGTTACCACTCTGACTCTGGCTTAGAAGAGAGGCTGAGAAGATTTTCTGTGCCAACCGACAGAGTTCACTCCTGTTGCCTTCAGTTCCTATGAACACATTTGATTCAAATAATTTCTACGGCTGCACAACTCCACTAACTGTGCTGTTTGCCCAAGCACCTGTTCAACTTTGGACACGAGTTCCTTTTCAGTGCCCAGACGTCACTGTGACCACTGGGTAGTCAGGTCCTCATTCTCTAATACTGTAAGAGCAGTTCAACAAAGGTCTGTGAGTTTCAGCTCACTGTGTAGGAGCCCGTATGTGAGGGCCTCTCTCAAACCCCAGGGAGGAGGACGCCGAGGAGCGAGACACACAGCCCTTCTGCTGCCCAAACTTCCCAAACCTGGATCCCTTTTCATATTAACTGATACTTCTGACCCTTCATATTTATATCCAGGTATAGAGAAAACTAAAGTTGGATTTGGAGTTAAGGCTGATGCTGAAAAACCAGATCCCCTCTATTTCCTCCTCAGCAAAGATGCCTTAGAGATAAGCCATCAGGCTGTCCCCGGTGCCCTATCTTATTGTCCAGCGCCATGCAAGCAGGTGTGCAGCACACACAGTCGCCAGTGCTGCCATCAGAGCTGCCCAGGTGAGGGTTTGCTGTAGGGGCAGGTGGGGGATCGCTGCCGTCTAAGCCCCATCTGGGCAGGCTGGTACGGACCAGGCGGCACGTACAGCACCAGCAGCCCCAGTCCTAGCCCCTCCCAAATTACAGGTAGGGAACAATCTAATAATCAGTAGAGCCACACAGCTTGGAAAAAAAAATCCCCAGCTTTTTTTAAGATTAAAAAGGAACACACACGCATATCTCACAAACAATTAAAAATAACAATCATTCTCACAGATTGAAAGGTTCTCATTAATGATTCGAGAACACACAGATTTGTTCTACCCATAGGATGCAAACATCACTGCCCTTGATTTTTTAAAAAAAATGTGTATAACCTTTCATTCAGAATCTGTCTTTCACCCAGGACAGATAATAAAGAATTTAAGAGTACATGATGATAATAGCTAACATTGCTTCATTAGATATAGCGCATAATTCTAACTCCCTAAAAGAGAAAAGAAGAGAACAAATGGAAAAGGAGGATAAAAGGCATCCGCACAAACCAGGGCAGCTGGAAATGATGTTTGGCTTCCAGAATGATGCCGAAAGCCCGCGCCACCCATCCTCTTTCCTAGGTGCCCTGTCCCCCAACGCGCACTCACCTGCCTTTCTTAGACATGTCGTGTACTTCTCTTCCTGGCCAGTGCACTCTGCTCTCGGTGGCCAAAACCCATCCCCACCACAATAGGAAGATGCCAAATTTCATACTGTGGACTGCCAACATGGGCTTCCAAATCCAAATCCAAACAGTTCTCTCCCGAAACGGTGAAAAGCAGACGGATGTTCTTTTTCTTTCTTAAGACATTATTGGTCTGTTCATTACTAGGAGGATGTTTACTCATGCAAAAAAAATCAACCAGCAGTACGTAATCTGGTGAGCAGGAGAAAGCAATTTCCACTAAACCTATAAATCCTCCTACGTCAGATGTCATGGATTTTCTGAACAGAGGTTGAATTTCTGTGTCCCTGAGAACAATTATCTTGGCTGGTCTAAATTAGTTAATCAGCAAGATGTGATAAATATGTTGACAAAGATCTGTATTTTTTTTTTTTCCTTTTTGGCCTATTGAATAAAAGGAAGTAAAAATGGCTCAAAGTAATTTCCAGAATTTAAAAGGCCCAAGGTGCTGAACTACTTGGCTGTCACGTTAATGAGCTCCTCCCCAGATCTATTTTAAGCTGCCAGCCTTTTCTATTTGCAGGGCTGAGGGCTGGATTTGGACAGCTCCCCGCCCCCACACCGAACTGGGGCAGAATCCCTACATTTTCAAGGTCCTATTGGTACCTGGCAGGCCATCGATATAGAGACAGAGAGAGCAAGTAGAGGCTTAAACAAACAAACGATTTGTTCTGCACAAAAAGAACTAAATTCCCTTGTCACTTGCCTTATTCCTATGAACTTCGCTGAAAAATACTGCTAATAATTGAACTATAAACATCAAGTCTGTTACATATCAATGGTTTTTCCTTCCCTTTGGTACTTGCTGATAGACTGCAATAATCTATTTATAACCTCAAGTTTGTGTCTTCTTCAAAAGATGGTCTCGGGCTGGGGAGATAGCTCAGCAGTCTAAGCACCCTGGCTGGCAAGGACAAGGATCCGGGTTTGGTCCCTGGTACCATATGCCGTGCTGGCTCCGCACCCAGCCAGCCAGCGAAACTGGGCGTGGTGGTACATGCCTGTAATCCCAGCACTGGGAGGCTGAAACAGGAGGATCACTATGAGTCTGAGCTACGTAGTGAGACCTTGTGCTAAATAAATAAAAGATCTTTTATTAAAGTTTAAAAAAAAAAACTTTCACAACCTCAGCTTTCCAAACTGTGAGCTGCTCAGAGTTCAACTGACATGGCTTTGATAACATCCAAGCTATATGGGTGGACCAAGTAAGGATTCCTAGAACTCTGGAGATGAGCAGCAGACAGATCTACAACTAATCCAGGATCCCACAGAAGAACTGAGCGCTGCTATGGCTGGGATGTGGTTGAACGCGTCTCCCACGGGTCCGTGTGCTGGATTCTTGGTGCCCAGAGTGGCAATGTTGATAGAACCTTTAAGAGCAGGGTCTGGCAAAAGGTCATTAGGCCATGTGCAGGGGCTACCTTCAGAATGGTTTGAGGTAAGTATCACGGGACACTTCTGGTTCCCAAGGAGTGAGTCGTTATAACAAACGAAGCCTGGCCGCCGAATCTCTCCTGTCCTCCGTCTAATGGTGAAGCTGTTCATCTCTTGTCTGTTTCTACCATGTTGCTACATGGCTGGAAGGCCCTCCCCAGAGGCTGAAATGACGGGTCCTCCTGACCTTGGACACTCAGCTTCCAAAGCAGTGAACAAAATAAGGCTTTTAAAAAAAGTACATTATTCAGATTTTTTGAGGCCAGATAACTCAGTGGATTAAAGTGCCTGCTTAGGGGCTAGTGAGATGGCTCAGTGGTCTAAAGCACCTACTTAGAACAAGCTTAGCAAAGCACAGGGACC